GCAGAGGGGCGGGATAGTGTACTCTGTAGGGGAGTGTCAGACACTGTACATTGTTTTTATTGGTTTGTACATTTTGTAATTCAGTGTTCCATCAGGTCCAGGGGTTGGTCCCCTGACATGAGGAATTGTATAAAAGCCAATCTTAACCATTAAAGCTGCGATTCCTGCTTACACTCCAAAACTGTGTGTCGTCCTTGTAGCGGAGAGCTGGTCTTACACAGCCTATCTCCACTTCCCAGTAAGGCTCAGGAACAAGTATTATAAATCCAGAAGGTAACATTTCCAGCAGGCAAAATACTCCAACAATTTCCCAACCTCAATCCCAATGACTGGACGACACACAGCATCAGGAGCAGAACTGAACTTTTAATCACAGCATTTCCTTATAAAGGTTTCTCCCATGCAAGGGAGGGATTTACAATAATTAGGACAGTAACCAATGGTACAATAGTTCCCTCCCATGCATTCCCTCCTCTCAGTGTGACACTTAATCCACTTATTTCTGTTCAAGTTTTCCCTGTTTTATGGATGTACCCCAAAACTGTGGGGTACAAGGATCTACGTGACATCCCCTGGTAGCCCTGATCTGGGTGACCAACATACTCAAAATTCACCCAGATCAGACCAGGAGTTATGGGGAATAAACTATTTGACCGACCGCACACGAGGTGGTAGCCGAAAAGGGTTCCATGTGTTTTGGCCCTGTGGTCAGTCTACGTTCGGGAGGTAAAACATTCACTAATCTTTGCCATCCATTGCTAATAATGCATTCACATGAATCCCCTTGTTTGGTAGGTTGAATTCAGGTCTCAGCGGTGTTCGGGGAATTGAGTGTCCGATTTGAGTTCCAGACACTCGACGACCAAACACCGCTGAGAGTTCGTGCGTAAGATGGCCGCAGCCACGTGTTCGCTTACCGAATGGCGGCCACCCAGATATAGCAATAAAGTACCGATTAACTGCGGTTAGAGAAGTGTGAAAGCCTTAATGAGGTACACACTTCTCTCTGGGGTGGTCTATTGATTCGGTAGTTTTCATTCGTATGCAATATGGATGGAAACTACCCAACAAACATATGAATTCCACATACAATTTCAATTATACAGGCAAATAAACACACAAATAGTCTTTTAAGCACAATCACGGAGGACAGTCCAGTACCATCTGCTACAGTCCTGTTTTTGGAGGGAAAGAAGATTTGCTCCTGTGTCTGCTGTTCCACCTTGCATGAGATTCAACTCAATAGAAAATAGTCCTTGTAAAGACTAGAGCTAATTCCCCATTCGGTTCCAGAGTTCCCAGGACTGAGTGCCGTCCAGTGCCTGGAGGTGTCAGAGCTAATTTACCCTTTGGCTCCAGGAGGGAGGTGGCGGTTCCAGGGTCCCAGTCAAGCTACGGCGACTGAGGGCAAGAAGTCCTGTGGTTTGTCCCCTGGTCTAGCTAGGAAGCGGTCCTTTGCTGGAGGTACCCAGTCAGGGTACAGGGAGCTCTGTTACATTTCCTGATATTGGTGCAGACAATAAAACTCCCCCACCAGGAAAGCTGAGCGGGGGGAATGAAGCAAAACACACAAAGCACTCTGCCACACTAAGACTCCCCTACACACACACAAACAAAATTCAGTCACCACACACAGCACATACAGACACACTCAGCCCCCCATTTGGCTCTCAGTCTCCTCCAGACACACACACACACCACCACTCACAGAAATAGAGCTGAGGGCTCTAGGAGGGGGGCCTCAATATAACCCCCCTGCCTAGAGCCCTAGGCAACCTTATAATCTGGTTATGGGTAAGAGAAGCACAAGGTGCAATGGGAGGGGGGGACAGGACTCAGGAGTTAAGAGGGAAAAAAAAGACATACAAAAGTAAGGGGATAAAAATAATCTCAATTTAAAGGAGTTTAGAAGAGACACACAAGGCATTAAGTGGGGACACACAGGGTGTCACGATATAAACTAGGGGTTGAGAGGGGAGCAGAGAGATGAATGACACCTAGAACGTTACAATTCAGTGAGGGCAGGGTGCCAAATAACATGGACTGTCAGAAAGCATGCATTCTATATATTTATACCGTGAATATACTTTTTGTCTTTCTTCCCAATAAACACAATGAATACATCTGCCTATAGACAGTGTTGAACGCTCCATCAGAGTGTGAAGAGAAATGATTTTTCTTTCACCGAGTGGCCACCCCTTGTGGACCGAGCAGGCCAGCTTGCAGCTCTGAGATAATCCTGGATGTAGCAGTCGCTCTGAGCGAACTCTCTGATAATTCTGGATGCAGCCGTCACTGCAAGCAGCTGGTAGCTCGGAGTCAGGAGGGAGAAAATCACGGTGGTTTTACGTGGTGCCACTGGGGTGCAGGCCACTGGGGGGATGAATTGAAGATGCACGCTCCGTATCAGCAAGTGATGAAGTTTGCGCCCGGTTTGAGCAGTAAGTGTTCCTCCATATTCTCGCTCTACGCACGGTTAATGTTTTCTGAGCCTATAAAACGTGTTAAATGCTTTTATTCAAAGAAACCGAATTCCAGTGAATTGAATAAACATTTCCTAAACTGCAGCAGAAATATCAAATCTGATTTAGCAAATCCGCACTTTTAACCTCAATCTCAACTCACTGGAATTCTCTGTTTAGTAAATTGCCCGCTGTTATAAACCTGTTGCATTGATAGGCATTCTGCACACTTTCTGAAATGATTTAACTCCTTGATGTCTGAGGATGTTTAACCCTTTACTATGCAATGCTTCTAGCACTCAATGTGTTAACACATGCAAAGACATCTAATCCACCAATGACGTGTTCTGATTTTAGAAAGGATGTAAAAAAAATATATATTTAATGTTTATATAACTTTATTCAACTTGTCTGCTTTAATAGAAATGAAATAAATAGATTAGTAAAAACACGCAAACAACTTGTAACCAGCTTCAATGTATTTGGACTGTGATAGTGGTCAAGTGATTCGTTTCTCATTATTATTATAAAGTTTATTAGTAAATTCTGCAGCGTTGTACAATGGAAGACGATTTTTAACAAATATTGATTAACACACATAGCTACAGACAGATATTCAATGTCAGGGAAGTCATAAAGAAAACATATGAATTGATAAAATCGAGTTATAGGGGGATGTAGCACAGACTGTATAATCGGAGCCTCTCAGTGACTCTTCGTTCTGTATACGTGATGTGTTACCTGCTTTTTAACAAATCAAAATGTTGAAATTGTTAATGATTTTATTCAAATCAATTTATTCAATCTAACTGACTAAATTCACTTAAAGAAAATGTTCACTTCACTCTCTATTAACCAAAGTAAAGCCACGCTGAGCCGATCGGGTCCTGACTATAATCACACGGGTCATAAAGCTGCAGTTACATTTGTTTGAAAAGGGCTCCAGTCAAACGGCAGCAAATTAGATGACAGTAGCTTCTATTCGGGGCTATGTTTCCATTTAAGCTGTTTCGTTAACGACATGCCGTTAGCTACATAGCCTCGATTTCTTTATTCCACGTAGGACAGTGACAATCACACCTTCCTATCTTTATAGGAAACCTTACTTCTTCCATCTGGAGGTTTGAGATCTGGATATGTCACTGATAATGCCCATAATGGGGGGCCCATCCAGAAAGAGGGACAGACAGCACTGCGGCTGATAGTGCCCGTTCACAGTGAGGCTAATCATGTGCTTGCGTTGTGCTGCCTGAGGACAGTTCCTTGGTTTCCACGGATATGTGACCCCAGGGACCAAAATTGGGATTGTAAGGCAGGA